GCCACCCTTGTTTAGGGTTTGGTGCGGACAGCACAAGATATCAATTTATTAACATTGGCATGATTATATTTTTGCCCCAATTTTGTGTTCTCTCGCTTCCAAAGGCAACAAGCTTCATCATCCATTTCTTGCAGGTGTTCTAGTGATCGACTGGGTGGCATCATGACATAGTAAGGCTTAAGCAATCTTCATCCCATCCAAGATACATCTTCATTACTTTTCTTTTGTTCTAGGCACGTGGGCTAAAAATGACAAGAAGAGGGGAAACCTAGAGAAGGGATCTTCTATGGATTCACAATAGGTGCTCAATCTTCTATGGCTATCTAATGAGTAATCCTCTACTCAATTTAGTTCCTGTCATACCTATAACACATGAGCAAGTTAAAAGAACAATCACAGAGAACACTCTCACCTATATGTGGCCTATATCCCATTCCCATCCTTCTTCTAGCTGGAGTTTTGCCTTCATGACCATCCAACACAATCAATGCAGGCAACAACAGCAGCAAAAAACTTGTGTAGCTTAAATCCTGCAATGCCAACACATGCATTGGCTCACATACTCCTGGAAAATCTTCTTTTTCAAGGCCACACAACACCACCGAGCACACACCAACACAATTGGCTTTAACACCCAAAGGGATGTATATGAGTGGTTAGCTTTTTGTTTTTCTTGTTCACAATACTCACTCTTTGGTTGTTTTTCCTAGTCCCAACTTCATGCATTTGCCATGCTAGCACCTAGACAATGCTCAGCAAGTAGATTTTCTAGAAGCCCCTAGCACTAAACTCTCTCGACAGGGTCCTTAACATTTTGCGATGGTCCGATGATGGATCACTAATCGAAAGGTTGCTTGTGCATTGCCACCTGAGCCATTAATAAGGTTTATTTCTTTAAAGTTTTTCATGGGTAAAATACCTCCATGCAAACTCTATCACCTATTGTGGCTAGTGTTCAATAACATGCAACAATCAACCTTTAGTCTTTGGCACCCCAAAGCAATAAGAAACATGGCAAAGCCCCCTATGGAGGCTCTTCTGATGAAGGAGTATCTTGGCCATTGACAACAATGCCATGCTCCAAGTACATCACTATTTCAATTGCATGGCATGAACATAGCTATGGCTGGCTTAGGGAACCTTGTATAAAGATTATAGAGATCATACCAAAGTGCTTGGAATGGGATGGCATATACTGGATAAATGCTTTTGTTCCAAGGACATCACAATATGCTATTCATGACATGCTCTAATGTCCTCTACACAACTTACTAGCAGATCAATATACATTGCTTGGTGCCTTTGTGAAGCGGTTTCGCAAAATGCAAGGAACATCTATGCATATCGACACTCTTAAGTTTGGAGAGAGCTTTCTGAAGCCCCAAGGACCTTGGTATTCAACTATGTTACCATAGCTATCATATTGTCATCCTGGGATTTTAAAGTAGCACTCCTATTGCATGCTCGATACCACCAATCTCTTCTACTTGCAACAATTGGAATTTCATATTTATTTGTGAGGTTATCTAGACTTCTCATGTGTACTACTCACACTCATGACTAATAATCTTGCATATGTTCAAACCTGCATGCACAATTGTTAAAAAGATGTCAATAAAACACATCTCCAACCTCTAAGAGATCTATTAAACATGCAAATGGTTACATGTCACTCCCATCACGAACTGAAACCTAGTGTAATGAATCTTCCTCCATTCAATCATCTTCATTGTTAGATATCATAAGCAGTCAATTTATGGAAAAGTGTCAAGGATGGAAGCAATAGAAAACAACACTTTTTACCTGAATTAAACATTGGAACAAATGGTGGGAGTTCTAGTATGTCTTTTATTTTTTCTAGTTCTTCATTTAGATACTAGTTTTCTTCTTCATCTTCTACATTGTCCTTATTGACATGAACAACAACCTCTTCATTACATTGTTGTTGTCAAATATCTAGCAAGCCAATATTTTCTTCTCACAAAATTTGATTGGCAGCATTGCTTGGTGCTAGAGATGGCATCCCACACTTCTAGATGCATTTGCAGGAAAAATATGACAACATCAATATAATGATAAATTCTACAAAGAAAAGAAAATATACTAGTAGCATTGTTCTCTCACTACTAGTAGGTATGTGCTTGTGTTTGGTAGTGGAGCAAGTGTTTATGAGTCAAGTGTTGACTTGTGTGTACAAGTAGATGATTAAAGATAGTTTTCTATTACTCTTGTTACAAATTATAACCCATGCAGTGAAAAGCAGACATGGTGGAAATAGTAGTAGAAGCCCCCTAATTGAAATAGCTTATAGAGAGTTCTTTTCTATATCTGGGAATGCAATGCCGTATTGGTAGGAGTGGTAATACATTCCTGGTTGATTAAGTTTTATAGAGGTTGACTATAAAGCTCTTTTTTGTGATGGAGGTATCAATGCTGTGGTGGTGAATTCACATGATCCAAATGCCTACACTATTATAAGGATTACAAGACATTGGTACTTGGAAAGATGGTAAGATTTAGTGTTATCATTTTTTAGTGGATAATGGAGCTTGTTTTTAAAATACAAGCATCTTTGACTAAGCTACAAAAATAAAGTATAGCCAATTCTCACATTTTTTGGTGAAGCACACAATGTTGCATCCATACTAGGAGGATAGGAAAAAATTCAAGTTAGATCTTGCAAATAATGAGTTTTTGTACTTGGAGGCTCTTTTCAGACTAAATTGTTGTACTCCTAAATTTCAAATAAAGTATGCATGTGATGTTGATAGGGCAATAGTGTGGGAGATAAAAACCATTGATTGTGGACGTCTATGACAAAATGCACTAGATAAAACATTATGGCAAGTACCAAGAAATGTGAATAAGATTAAAGTTTATTTACCATATCTTTTAATGTTCTTTTTTCTGTGTGTATGCTAAAGGTGCCTCATATTGGCATCCAAAGAAACTCCTATCTTGAATGACTTTACAAAAAGCTAACAAGAGAAAGATACGAATTACAAGTTGAATATATTAAATTCTTTTAACTATACTTTTTTATTGGACATGTTTGTTGGCTAGCTATTGTTCTAATGTTTTGAAGCTCAAGCACAAGTCTCTCAACTGTATAATATAACTACACTAGCAATGGCTATAGAGGAGATTCCAGCTATGCGACAAAAGACTATCATAAGGTGGCCTTTTCAAGATGGACTTGAAGTTGTATGCCCCACAGATTTAGGATGGAGTGAACATGTTGTAACCCACCATAGGTCTCCAAATAACAAATGAAAAAAAGTGATGAAAGAGATATTGGAGAACTTACTGATCACTCATCTCCACCAAGTTTTGGAAACGGCTTTAAGGGACCTCAGTGGTAATTATAATGATACTATAGAAGAGTGTATGGCACTTGTGGTCTACCACATGTTTTTCTTGGAGTTGCAACTGGTTGGGGATGCCTTGCAAATTGGTTTCTAACACTAGATGAAGATAGAAGCATATTATTGTCCTAAAAAAAGTGGAGTACTCCATGGAGCATTGTCAAGAATTGGTGTCCGCATTTTCATCCACGCGAGTTCTTTCTTGATGTTCTTGGCTTTCTCCCTTTGGTGGGCATCTTACAACTGCCATCACCTACCATCTATGCCTAATAATACACTACTAAAGTTCTCTAAAAGATAGTTTATTCCAACCACTTGCTTGAAAGCATTGCTCTCTAAACAAGCAACCTCTTGAAGCTCCACAAGTATGGCACTTTGCTCCTCACATAACATCACTATACTCCTCAAACCCCCCAAACTCATCCTCAGTTGTAACATCTTCCTCTTCATCTTTAGCTTTGGCTGTGCGCTTAGGCTAGGGTTTTTGCACACTAGGCAAACTGGTGGGTGAAACACAAGAGGGATTGGGAGCAATTCACACCTTTGGGCCTGATCCTTCACTAAACCAAATTTCATTTTAGAGCAGTATATGAAATTTCATGGAATTCCATTATTTCCTGGGGAATTATTTGGGATTTCAAAATGCTTGAGTACTTAATTATTGCTTTTGTTTGTAAAAATGGCCAAAATTTCATACTATATACTATGCTTAGAGGAAGGAGAATGGGAATTTATCAAGATTGGAAGACAATTGTACCTTTTATAAGTCATATAATCTTAGATATAACACATATTCCTTTTTCTTTTGTTTCCTCCAAGATCTACTACCCTATAAAGCCCAGCATCCATGGTTGAAAACTATAAAGTTAATCACTCTATTTGAGCTCCTCAGCCCTTGCTAAGTTGCAACAATGCCCAAAAGCTTTAATCAACTAGAATTATAAATCAGGCAAACAATTCAAAGCTTATAATTATAAATAATTTGAGACAATTAGTTGAATGGTTATGGATGGTCATGTAAATGGCCCCTTACATGACCATGATCCCTACATAATGGCCATTAGATTCTGGGGAATATCCTTAAAAAATCTAATATTTGATTAAGGTGGGAATATTCGATTTCACATGTAGGAAATATTCAATTTCACGTGGGGAACATGCAGAGAATATCCAAGTTTACGCATTCTTTGTTTGTGCAGGGAATTGCTTCTTTGTGTCAACAGTCCTCTTCTCACTATCTCCAGGGCCATGCCCCCAAGTCTCGCATGGAGAGGTCGAGCAACGTGGACGAGGAGCTTGTGCTTGTGAGCTGTGACCTTGAAGGAGAAAACGTCGACGCCTCCATTTCTGCCAATAGCTATAAAATTCAACCATGCTTTTGCACCGATCCAAAAAATGACCATATTTTGAATCACTTGGCACTACAGTGCCGGCCAGCAATTCATTTGTCAGGCCACCCCCTGCTCTATTAGATGTGAATTCATACTGCAGTTCTTCATACCAAGGAAGAGTGCGACCATAAGTTATAAGACACCTTTGTTATTTTACTGGTGATTTTATTTAAATAAATGACGTAACGTTTGATGTAGCCAAATCAAACCCGGATTTGCACATTTAAACTCATTTGCACAGCAGGAAGAAGCTACGACTAGAAGGAGATTCCACGCCTTCGACCAGCATCCGGAACTGGTGGAGGCAATTCCACATCGGGATCATCATCTGCAAAATGAGGCGTCAGAAGGAGCAAGAGACAGGTTTGATACTTACCAGGAGCACGGCAGTTATCACACAACCACAACTCCCAAGTTTCCTCAGTAGCAGTGGTGCAGAGCCAGTGAAACCAGACGTTACAGTAAGTACAGCTTATCCACTTATCATCCCTGCAGGTTTCAGCACACTTGCACTCTGGACAGACGTCCTCGGCCGGCTTCTTTGAGTAGCGATTGCTCTTGAGCACCCGAAGTGCGGAATCGATATCCTTGAGATGGCTGGACAGCTGACCGAAAGACATGAAAACTTGAGTAACATGAGGGTGTTCCCAATCCTTAACCACCCAAGTATCTGTCTCTGTAGGAGTGTACACCACCCAAACTAGCATCGTCCTTCTTTGTGTCACTGCAAACAACTCGTCTGCAACCTCTAGAGTTCTCTTATGATGCTTCTCGGGATTGTTAGCAACGGTAATCTGGAAGACGACTAACCACTCCTCATCGGAGTAGAAAACATCGGCTCCGATGTGGTTGAAGTTCGGAAGGAAAAGTGTAGGTGACAGGCCCACATCTTTCAGCTCATCTATCCCAAACTTCCCCTTGACTGTCCGCACTCCTGCAGGCTTGATCAAAATTTTCTCGCTCAGGTCATTGTTGTCCACTCTTATACAAGGGGTCAGCAGCTTGAGCGTCAAGATGGTAGCCTCCTCCACATTCCAGCCAATGCGCACCAGGTTGTTGTCCTTCATGATCATTCCGAGCCACCTCCGAACCTCAACCTTCCCTTCCTCCAAACTTTCCGCCTTCACCTTCTCCGAAATTAAGCCAAATGCATACGAACGGAGTTCACCAGTTAAACACTTCCCTCTTCCATCTCGACCCCTGTAGAAGGCACGGGTATCCATCGCAACCGTCAAGCGAGCAACCTGCTCCCCCCGTAGTGCTCTGGCAAGTTCACTAACCTCCCAGCTGCTCCGGTTCAGGATGAAGTCCGCAATCTCATCCTTGAGCCGACTGATAGCACTATCCAGTTCACCGTCCTCGCCGAAATAGTGATGATAAATCAGTTGCGGCACAGAACCAGTTCTTTGCAGAGTATAAGCAATTTCTCCATCAATCAAACGCTGGTCCGTAGTTTCGAGGTACATGCCAATGCAGGCAACTAGTTCTTTTCTCTAACAAAACAGCTCGGTGAATAACCAGTTTTCCAAAACAGGGACTTACCGTATACCCTCCGCAAACGATAAGTTGAGGCGGAGCAGCGTCCTTTATAAGCTCTTTGCGCAGCTTGCTTTCTATGGATGCACAGAAGACGACGACGCACACCTGAGCAAGAGACTCGACAAAAGATCGAGCAGCAAATCTGATCTGGCCGGAGAATATAGCTTTGTCATGTAGCGAGTTGCCATCGTCGAATAAAAGGTAAACCTTTTGCAGCTTCTTTCGCTCTTTGAGAAATTGGAGCAGACTGTCCGGCCTTTCGTAGTCGACACATTTCAGCGCGTTGAGAGCCGCTTCATCACGAGCATAGGCTAGAATGAGCGCACGCCATAAATTGTAAGATGGATCTTCCATGAACACTCGGGCGTTGATATACGCAACAGCAGCAGCGCCGGTAGCTTTTCTTCGCTCGCTGGCATATAAGTAACCAGCTGCGGCTGCAACGCTGTACGTTTTTCCAGCCCCAGGGGTCCCAGTTATGAACCGAATGGCAAGATTCGGGTTCGTGCTGTACACGCTCGGACCCTTCTTCACAGCTTGGAAAAACTTCAGTATGTCCACCGTAGTTTTCCGTCCCATGTATGAAAATGAGGTCGCGTCTTCTGTAAGAATGTCCGGCGCCAGCAGATCTATCCGGGTATCGATGCTCCCGAGCTTTTCTTCTGTCATCTCTTGATAAGACGTTTCCAAAGACAATGCCAGCGCAGAAGCTTGAGCTTTCACCTCCCCAAATGGATCTACTCTGCGCCTTTTCCTGCTAACTGCAGAACAAGCGCTAAGTAATGCCGGATCAACACAAATTGACGTACCGAGTGACAGTAGAGCAGATTTGGTCGCAGCATCGGCAGGGAGGAAATAGTCCAATCGGGTCGACTCTGTAAGCTGGAGTAATGCGTCAATGATGGTACCAGCTGTCTCATTGTCGAACAAATCCAGGACCTTAACCCTTGCGCTATCCCAGCTGAGCTTCTCTCTACGAGACAAACCGCAATCACCCATCTTCAAAACTGCTTCCACAACTGCCTTTGCATCCCGGAACTCCTGCATTGCGCCAAGATAACCTAACTTCTCGAATAGCTTACAACACAGAATTAATACTATTATTTAACAAACCGCAAGGTAGGCCAACCTAGGGTTTAAGGCGTTCTGGCCAGTTTGCAAAGATTTACCATTCTTGTTTCCAGCAACAATACCACAGTCCAGAATCACAAGATGTATTACAATTAACACCTAACTATTTACACAACGGAAATTAATGTTGATCTTCTTGGCAGCTCTAAGTGAGGAGGCACAGAAAGGAATTGTCAACGAGGTTAACAAGCTAGCAATAAGTTTTTCTTTTGTGCTCTTGGGTCTTAGAGTTCTCGATAGGATCCAGTGTTTCTCCTCACCAGTTGGGCATTGTGGCAGAGTTTCCTGTTGAAAGTCAAGCACAGAAAAAGAAACAAAATACCTCGTGCCCAGCTGCTTTCAGTGCCTCCTTTTTCTCCTCAATGCTTGGGATTTGGCCACTACCACTCCCTAGCGCTCTCGCGATCCGGCGAGCTATGGGCATGGGGGAGGAACAACGAGGGGCAGCACGAGGTAAGTTTTCTTTTTCTGCTCTTAGTCTTATAGTTCTCTATAGAAAATTCCACCTCCAATCCCAAGAAAGACGAGGCACTGAAGGTAAGTTCCTTTTTTTGTGTGTGTTTTTAAAGACTTGGAGTTCTCATCAGGAAACTTTGCCATAAGGACGGGTGAGGAAAAAGCACTCAAAACAACTAGGCACGAGGTAAGTTTTTTTCTTTTTTGTGCTCTTAGTCTTAGAGTTCTCTATAGGAAATTCCACCTTCAATCCTTCTGAGAAGAAAGACAAGGCACTGAAGGCAAGAATTTATTTTTTTTGTTTTTTGTGCTCCTAGAGACTTAGAGTTTTCATCAGGAAACTCTACCACAATTCCTGACCGGTGAGGACAAAGACAAGCTCGAGGCACTAAAAGCTACTTAAGGTAAGTTCTTCTTTTAAATTGCTCATAGTCTTAAGAGTTCTTGATAGGAAACTCCATCTCCAATCCTAAGTCATGAGGAGAAACACGAGGCATTGAAAGTACCATGAAACTCTGCCATAAATCGGGAGCATTGAAGAGAAAGAGTTGAACGAGGTAAATAGTTCTCTTACATATAAGTGCTCGAATCTTAATAGCTATGGGCCAATATTGAGCAGATCTCAAACAACATTTCGTGCAGTCCTCTACAGCATTGTCAACAGCCTTCATGACGTATGGGATATTCCTGGATAGACCCTCATGTCCTCACTCGCAGTTCTTGTTTTATTGGTTCTTCGCGAAAGTTTCCTCACTCGCAGTTCTTTCTTTTTAGTTCTTTTTTCTTGGTTCTTCGCAAATGTTTCCTCACTCGCAGTTTTCTTTCTTTCTACATGGGCTTCACCACCAGAAGTCTTGGAAGCCACACTGATTGTCCAGGTAAACGAGTGTCCGAGAAAGAGATTTTCGTTTCCATGTGATCGTTCACTTGGCTTCTATCTTTCGTCTAGAAAATGGAGCGCAATACAATTTGATCGGTTGGTTTCTATGGCTTTTTCTCTCTCGTTTTTTTCTAACTTGAAAACACACAGAGGGAATGGTTCGTCATTGTCGACTGGACGTGTGATATATTATGTGAGGCTTGGAAAAACGAACAGTTCTTCACAGATCAATCTTCTCATGCATGTGACTGTGACTGGGTTTTCTTACATTTACTTTTCTACTTTCTTCTCATCGTGGATACTCCGTGATCTTGTGTTTTTATCCTTTTGTCAGGGCCGGATCATGTTTACCTCCAAAGGATAGAACCGGTGAAAGAACGTAGAGAAATCACCAAGATCATCGACCGTGCTAGAGATCGAGAAGCCACAGAAGTTTCAATTGAGCTTTGTTCTACTCGCTTCTCTTCTTGTAAGTTACCACCGGACGGTAAACAGCCACGACTTTGATGATCCCGCAGCCAACGAGCTCTCCCACAACAGCATCCACATCCTTGTACGCTTCCGGGGCCTCCTCGAAGAGCAAGTTCACATCCTCGCAAATCACCCGGCCTCCCAATCGCGTCTCCTGGAGCGCCGCGGCAGCAGCGTTCACGGTCGAGGCCTTGTTCTTCATCCTGGTCAGCGCCACTCCCCTCGTCAAGCTCCGCCCGGCACCGTGAGCGAGCGAGAAAGAGTTCTCTCGCTGGTCGCCAACCGGCATCACCAAGTAGGAGAACGATCCCCTCGACCCCGGAATGACCACTGCCCCTTGATCACTCGGCGCAGCCCCTTTCCTGTGCAGCCACACCGATCTCGAATCTATCTCCTTGTTGGTCACGTTGTTGTGCCAGATATCCAGCACCTTGCTCGCGCTAGCGTCGGGATCGCTGCTCAAGCACGTCATGATCCGGTGAGCGATCAAGTCCCTGTTGGTTCGAGCCCAGTTGCAAGCGTAGTTGTGCTGCTGCATGTACGCATCAAACTCTGGCGTGTTCTCGCGGAGCTGGACGGGCTGCGAGTGAGCGATGTGCTTTCCAAGTCCCCGGGAGCCGCTGTGAACGAGCAGTACAAGCTTGTCTTCGTGCAATCCCAGCGCCGAGAAGCTCACCGGATCCTCAACTCGTTCCACTTGCTGGATCTCGGCAAAGTGATTGCCACCACCTATAGTTCCCAGGCTCTCGTCGAAAGGAGTGCTGGAGCTCGCGGAGATACCGTTCTTGGCTAGCCACTCCGAGAGGCTTCCATCCTTCCAGCGTCCCTCGATCCCCTGGAGCTTGTCGCAAATTCTCTTTGGACGAGTGGAGCTGGAGAGAGTGGTCTGGAACAAGGCCATGCCACAGCCAACGTCGCCACCGATGAGCACTGGATAGATGCATTCCTCCGACTCGATGGCCGCCCCAATGGGATAGTGATCCGATGGATGCAAGTCGGGCATTCCCACCGCCTTGACCACTCCCGGAAGCCTCGCGACCTGTTCTAGCTGATCGATTGCTAGCCGCTCCACGAAATCCTCGAGAAATCTCTCCGAGGAGTGGACCACTGAGACTGCGGCCGCTGGAGCTTGATCACCATCCTTGGAGGAAAGATTTCCTCCACCGACGAATCCCTCCCCTGCCGATACGAGCACAACCGCGTCGTTTGCGACCCTGGACAGCGTCGCTGGCCCGATCTCTGTGCCATCGGCAGCGAGGAAGAGGCGCTGGGGTTTCTTGATGCGGAGCTTCTTCTCGGCGGCCGCGAGGATCGATCTGATCGATTCTTCTGGATTGCTGGCATCCAGATCGAGAACTACTGCCGATCTTACCGTCTGCCGGCTGTTCCTGGCGAGCGTGATCCTCGTTCCAGGCATGGAAATCCCCTACATTTTTTAGGGTTCTAGAGAAATTTTATAGTTGACAGTCTTGTCCTAAGAAACCGAGTACACGTCGGTGATCTTGCAGCCTTGTTCTTCTTGCTCGAGAACCTCGACGATGAAATTCATGGATCCTTGCAAGGGTAAGTCTTTGAGAGTTGGAAGAACCTCGGGCAAGCTAAGATGTAGATTTCCCATGTTTATCTCCTCAATGATGTGTGGAGGAGAGAGTATATTCTCTTTGCTCTCTCACTATAAACTATTGCCTCCCTATCCCATCTTCCCTGTAGGGTTAATATTAGTAGTTTGTTGAAGCTCGCGCAGATCCTCGCTGCAAGGCTTGATACTGAGCCAGCCGCCGCCGACGTCGTGCTGGAGGCGCGAGCGCTCTGTGAATACATCGCAGAGGCTTCTATCCGCCTGCCAACGACCACACCCTCTTCTCCTTCGTTTCAATCCTCTACCTGGGAAGCCTCGGGCCCGAGGAGCGTGAAGGGCTCCGAAGATCCCTTCCGCCGGCTTCTCAGGTTGCGTGTGATCTTGTGGTGGAGTTTGCGGGGGAGCTGCTGGGCCACGACTTTGGTGCTTGCGATGGAGATGACGAGGTTGGGAAGCCGCTGCAGATGTTTTGGGAGCGCTTTTGTGGCAGCAAAGGCGTGCGCGTCGGCGTGCCTCATCGACCAGGAGAACTTGTCATGGAGGACCGCCCCCTCGAGCCTGTGCGGCCCCCGCTGGAGCCCCTCTACTTTGGTAACCATGGTTTGACTTCTTTCTTCTTATATGATTCTTGTTTTTCCAGGATGGCAGGAAGGAGGAGGCAGCCCGCTGCATGGTGGCGGTATGTAAGTTTTGACCCGAGTGCTGTGCTAACGTATTTATTTGTAACTTAGTAACAGGGAAGGGATCAGCAGTGACTCTAGCCGTCGGGCTTTATGATGTTCCTAACATCCTGGACCTTGTTTGCAAGTTGACGGAGAGTGACTACTTTTTCTACTTGCCAGTGAAGAACCTGGGATGGAACTTGCGGATTCACACAGAGCAACGAGACACGGTAGAAGAGTACTACTCAAAACTCGAAGGTGACAGGAACGCCTTGCCCAGAGTGCCACCAGCAACATACCCATGCGTTGAAGTTACAACTTCTCCATTACGTGTGAGCGAGGCTAGGCTGCTGCTGCGCGGGATCCGGTCCAACCAGCTCCTACGCTCGCTGCTGTTGCACCGGCCGCCACAGTCAACACTCCCGCACTACTACACGATTGTCAATGCCAGCGCTCACGCGCGCCTCTGGCTCGGCCGCTACGACCTCCCGATCTACTACGACTACAGCTTGACGTGTAAGCTAGATCCGCTCGCTTCTCGCTGACTGTAACTTGCTTCCTGCTCGTTTCTAGACGGTGAGCTGTGTACCCGAGGAGCTGCATCGGCCGAAGAAGAGGTAGGCTTTTATACTTCTCTGCAGCTGTAGAAACAGCTATTAATGTCGTGTTCAGGCTCTCAATGGTGGTTTCCTGGTGGAGCGCGGGCCGTCTGTAGTAGAGACTGTGTTGCGACACAACACACTAAACCATATGTGGTACGTATGTTGTGTCTTCTCTTAGAAGATCAATGTCTTGCATTGCATTGCTTTTTGTAGGAAAGAAGGCCCAACTGCATACGAGAAGCTAGTCCATATGCGTCCCGAGGATTACGAGCCACCGGAAGAAGCTGTGGCGCAGGATGAGAATCTGTGGAAGGCGCTCCAGCAGCTGAGGCATGCTGTGGTGGCTACGCCCTCGTATGCATGGGGGCATGCTCTCTCCACCGCCGTTTTTATGTACGCCAAGCATTTCCCGCTGGAGCCCGAGGCCAAGCGCAAGTTTCTGTTCAGGCACGGCGTGCCCAAGCACTTTGGAACGCTGCAGGTTTTCGACACCATTCTCAAGCTGTCACAGCCACTGGACTCGGTGGCGATCAAGGAACGAACCTGTGCTTGAGAAAGCTATACACCACATTCCAAGCTCACATCCATCAGACGAAAATTTAAAAAAAAGCAACGTTTTTTCGTAAGATTACCACGAAATAGACGAGTGAAAGTACTCTGTGCTGGAGCTTTTATATAAGGGTTCTAAAGGAATTTTCAAAAACCCTAGAGTTTTAGGGCAGAAAGATATGTTTTTACTTCGATCGCGTATCCATCGGAAGTGCGCGTCGTCACCGCCATCGCTGCTGCTGCCTGGATGCGACGAGAATGCCGCAATGCTGGTGTTTGTGAGGGGATTGAAGGTGCGTCGTCCAAAGACAAAGAAGCCTATCACACCGATTCCTCTCACCCCAGCGATCAAGAGCGTGCTCCAAGGTCAGGAGGATCCCACTCCAGTGCTAGAGGACAAGCTTACCAGGAACGCTCTCAAGCGACGCAGTGACAAGGGTCTCTCGCTCGTCAGGCTCATGGCGACTTTGGCACCCGGCCAGATTAAAAATGTGATCCAGTAAGTCATCTACTCGTCACTCGCAGTTCTTCTTTCTTTCTAGTTCTATTCTTTTTTTGGTTCTTCGCGAAAGTTTCCTTACTCGCAGTTCTTTCTTTCTTTGTTCTTTAGATGGGCTTCGCTACCACCAGAGGTCTTGGAAGCCACACTGATTGTCCAGGTAAACGAGTGTCCGAGAAAGAAAGTTTCGTTTTTCTACGATGATTCTGGTTTTGTCTTTCTTGTAGAAAATGGAGATCACTGGTGTGAAGGAAGCGAAGAGGCGGCAATACAGTTTTATCGGTCGGTGTCTCGATGCCTTTTTTTCTTCTCGTTTCCTTCTAACTGGAAATCAAACAGAGGGAATGGTTCGTCACTGTCGGCTGGACGTGCTCGAGTATGTGATATATTGTGTGAGGCTTGGAAAAACGGTTTCCCTCCAACAATTCTTCGCAGATCAATCTTCTCATGTATGCGACTGTGGCTAGGTTTTCTTCGTTTATCTTACTTTTCTTTATCCCACTTTCTTCAGAGGGATAAATACGTGAAAACCACCTCTGAAACATGGGTGAATGGACTCATGGACAACGAATTGAGTGTTACAAGGCTAATCTATACGCTGCCATACGGGTATGACAGGGAGGTAAGTTCTTCATTCACGATTAAAATCTGGACAAATGAACGTATGTACTTGGCAGGAATTGCGGAGGTTGCTACGCGAGTTTAAAATGAAAGTGAATCTTTCGAGGCAGTCTAAACAACAGAAAGAGAGTGAGGAGATCCAAAAGTCAAAGCGAAGGAGCTGCGTGAAGGCCAAGAAACTGCTGGTTAAGTTTATGGCGGGCCTGGCACAAAAGGACTACTGCACGAAGTCTCTAGCAGGGGAATTCACAAAGGCTTTAGAGATAGAAGGCGGAGAAGCAGCCATCCAAATAACCGATGGATTGGACCGGGTGGAGCTCTCGGACTCGGACCAGGCCGAGGAAGTCGACGGGTCTGACCGTCGATACAGTGCTTCTGACTGCGAAGAGGAGGTCTCGGAGGTAGAAAGCGATCCAGAACACGAAGACTCGGATGGAAATGTAGAAGACGACGTCGACAAAGCAAGAGAACTCTAGCGAACATTTGGTTCAAGCGACAACTTGACAAGTGGCTATCACGAACACGGGACAAAATGGCTTGGTAAAAATATCATTTTTGTCCACCCTTTTTCATGAATATTCTTGTCTTTTTTTTTTTTACTTAGGTTACTCGGGAGGAACACTTGGAAAAGGCACAATGAATCTATCGAGCTCGCCGCGGCTGATGATAGTTTCCGATCTAGACCACACCATGGTACGCAAATCGATCGACCTTTCATTTGGTCTCAAAAAGTTTTGATTTTGCACAGGTGGATCATCACGACCCGGAGAACAAGTCCCTTCTCCGCTTCAACGCATTGTGGGCTGCCGAGTTCAGTCACGATTCCTTGCTGGTTTTCTCGACTGGGAGGTCTCCGACCCTTTACAAAGAGTTGAGACGAGAGAAGCCATTGCTCACTCCGGGCATTACAATTCTCTCGGTCGGAACGGAGATAATGTATGGCGATTCCATGATTCCCGATAGTGGCTGGGAACAGGAGCTCGACAAAGGCTGGGACCGATCGATCGTTATGGAAGTAGCTTCTGAGATGCCCCAGCTCACCTTCCAGGTTCGTTTTCATTAAGAAAAACTTGCAAGTTCTCGTTTTTATTCTGTAACTTGTAGAGTGCTACAGAGCAAAGACCACATAAAGTGAGTTTTTCAGTGGACAGGGGTCAAGCACCGGAGATTATGAAAATCCTCGATGATCGATTGAAAGCTCGTGGGGTATGTGCTCCTTTTCTTATTTTACATTGTCACTCTCGCTGTTCATATGCAGTTGGAGGTGAAACTCATCCACAGTGGCGGCCAGGATTTGGATGTTCTTCCCATTGGAGCAAGCAAAGGCCATGCATTGTCCTATCTGCTAAAGAAGTTCGAGGCCGAAGGAAAATCTCCACTGCAAACTATGGTTTGTGGCGATTCCGGAAACGATGCTGAGCTTTTTGCTGTTCCTGGAGTATATGGCTCAATGGTTGGCTTTTTCTTTTCTTTCCCTTTTGTCCCTTGTGACTTACTGATAGGTGCTGCATCTTTCACAGGTAGGGAATGCTATGGAGGAGCTGATAAATTGGTACAATGAAAACGCTCGTGACAATCAAAAAATTTTCCGAGCCACTGAGACGTGTGCGTCGGGTATCATCCAAGGATTGCAGCACTTTGGCATCGATCCGTGCGTGTCGCCGCGAGACTTGGAGATGGATGGCGATTTTGTCGCGGGTGACAAAGACGGTCATCAGGCGATTGCTCGCGAGATTGTTCTACACCAGCTTCTGTGTGAAAAGTGGCTCAAGGGCGAGGTGGAGTGCAATGACCACGTCTTTGAGATTCTCAAGGCTCCAGTGGTAAGAAAAACTCGTTCGTTTTTTTCTTCTCTGAAATCCTCTTAAGTTGAGTGCTCCTTGATTCAGGCTCCACATTCTACTTTAATTGGCGCTTGGGGTGTTGATATCCAGCTTGCGAATGCAATCGAGATGCTTCGTCCCCTCCACGGCCTTCATAAGGACAAGCGGTTTTGGATCTGGGTTGATCGAATCCGGGTGACGAACATTGGAAAGGACACTTGGCTTGCAAAGTTCGATAAGTGGCAGCATTATGGTTGGGTTTTTTGTTTTTTTTTTTCAGTTTCTTTGCTTGTGTCTAAGCACAGATTCTTTTCCAGACGGAGAGCTCAACTGTCGTATAACAACCGCTGTTTTCCAGTCCCCGGTACTTCTTTTTGTTTGTTCTTTGTAACGCTTGTAACTTACCTTTGCGAATGTTTGTAGGAAGGGAAGCCTTATGCCACCGCCATTCAGATCCAGGAAACTTGGAAGGAAGGCTATGCTGGCAAGCCGATGTTGAAGATATGAAATTGCGATTTTTTATTGGAGGACTCAAGAATAAACAGTACATTGTCACTAGAGCCACACAGGTATGATTTTGATACTCTTCAAATTATTCACGTAAGAGCGGACGATAGCAGCTGATATGGAGAACCGAGACTGGCATTGCAAGCTACAAGCTTTTGCATAACTCGTGCTCCTCGCTCGGAATCTCTATACGATCGGCACGACCCGAGAAGGCTAGTCCAGTCCGATGCTTCAGGCAAAAACGGCATAGAATCTATGAGACTCTCTGCGAATTCCAGGTAGCCGGCTCGACCAAGGAGATCGATCACGCAGGAAAAATGCTGCTTGAGTGGCTTGACTCCATAGTCGACTTCGAGGCTACGAAAGTACTGCCTTGCCAAGAACACGTCCCCGGAGTGGCTGCAAGCAAGCAAAACCAGGACGAAAGCAACGTCGTCTGGAGAATCCATTAAGCTCCCGCGGTGGAAGAGCTCGATGGTTTCCTTGGAGCGACCGCCGTGAGCAAATCCCGCAAGCATTGCGTCCCAGGACACCACGTCTCGATCGATCATCCCATCGAACATCTTCTTCGCTACTTCGAGACGACCGGCAAGAGCATAGCCGGAGACCAAGATCGTCCAAGACACCGAGTCGTGCTCCTCCATTCCTTCCCAGAAGAATCCCTCGGCGCTTCCAATCGCCTTGTTGCGAGCAAAGGCGGAGAGCATCGCGTTTTGGGCGATGAGATCTTTGCTCTCTCCCATCATCTCATACATTTGCTGGGCTTCTTCGAGATGCCCCTCCCTTGCAAATCCGGTTAGCATGCACGTCCACGAAGCGAGAGTCCGATCTCTCATCGCATCAAACAAGTTTTGAGCTTGTCTTAAGTCTCCGAGCTGCGCTTCCGCGGCCAACATTGCGCTGTGCGACACCGGATTCTTCTCCGGCATGGATCTGTAAATCTCCCGGGCTTTGCCAAGGAATCCACCGTGAGCATAGGCCGTGAGCATCGCATTCCAGGCTACAAGATTCAATCTGGGCATGCTATTGAAAGTTTTCCTAGCCTCGTCAACTCTTCCGCGGACGGAGTACGCGACGAGCAGCGTGATCCACGACACCAAATCTCGCTCCGGCATCTTTTTGAAGGTTTCTTCCGCATCTTGTATATGCCCTGACGCGGCAAATGCTGCGAGCATGGCATTCCATGAGACAATGTTCTTGAAAGCCATCAGTTTAAAAACTTTGCAAGCGTAAAAAACATCTCCATGACGAGAGTAGGCAGTAAGAAGCGCAGTCCATGACACCACATCGTGCTCCTCCATCGAGTCAAAGATGTTCTTCATGTCCTCAAGATGCCCTTTATGGGCATTTACCAAGAGCAAGTTGGTCCAGCAAGCCAAGTTCCATTCCGGCATGGAATAGAACACTTTTGTGGTTTCTGAAAGGATACCGTGTTTAGCGTACGCGGACAAGAAAACGGACCAAACCACCATGTCTCGTTCCGGCATTTCATTGAACAAGAGTCGAAGTTCTTGCAAATGCCCAACACGGGCAAATAGCGCAAGCATGACAGTCCAGGACACCAGATTTCTCTCCGGCATTTTCTGGAAACAAGAACTGGCTTCCCGGACCATCTCAGCTCTTCCAAATGCGCTTAGCATCACAGTCCACGAATGGATGTTCCTTTCTCTCATGCAGTCGAAGATGGTTTTCGTTTCTTCAGTATGCCCTTCCCGGGCATATGCAAGCAGCATGATCGTCCAGGACTGGAGGCTGTGCTCCGGCATCGCATCGAGCAAAATCCTGGCCTCCTCCAGCAGCCCATCTCGCGCGTACGCGGAGATCATCGATACCCAAGAGAACTCGTCCCTCGCCGTGGAACTTACAAACACTCTTCTCGCATCGTCGATACTCCCGCATCGCAGGAACATCTGGATGAGCAAATTGGAGACGTAGGCGTCGCTCCTGTGCTGGATCGCGATTTGGGAGTGGAGCTTCTTCGCATCATGGAGAGATTTGGAGGAGAAGCCTGTGAGCTCTTTGATGCATTGGGCTCGATTCATACACCTGCATTGCCACGCTGGAGGGGGGCAAAATTTAGTAGTAGGAAAAATGCTATGGCTGCAATTGTTTTTAGCTACCGTTGATTCTCTCTCTTTTTTGGCAGGATTATGGCAATGTTGTTGGTTTTGTTCGAGATGGGAGGATTCGATTTTCCACCTTGGCGCTTGGTTTCTTGGGAGCTTGATTATGGCGCTGGAGAGGATTAGTACGATTGGTCGATCTGAAGAAGCTGGGGAAGAAGAGGCAATAGGGGCGAGTGAGCAAGAGATACTTGTGGTGGAAGGCTTGCTGCTGTTTGAGAGAGTTTTCAACTCTTATCTTGAGTCTTTTAGATTTGCTCATGGAGCCTGCATCAGCCGGGAGTTTGGAACCTCTCTTTAATGGATATACGATTCAAGACAAACTCAAGCAGAAGCAACACGTTCCGTACAAGTGTGGGATTGAACAAACTTGCAAACGAAATGAGTGTTGTGTGAGAGTCATGTTTCTCTTCTGCCTCTCGTATATGCCCGGCTTCGGCAAATGCAGAAAGCATGGCATTTCATGAGACAATGTTTTTGAAAGCCAGTGCAGTCCATGATACTACATCGTCCTTCTCCATCGAATCGAAGATGTTCTTCCCGTTCTCAAGATGCCCTTTATGGGCATATACTAACAAAAGTTGTTCCAGGAAGCCAAGTGCCATTACGGCATAGAATAAAACAGTTCTGTGATTTCGGCAGCGAAACCATGTTTTGAGTATGCGCATAAAAAACCAATGAGACCACCATGTATCTCGTCAAAGTTCATGTAAATGCCCAAGAAGGGCAAATAGTGCAAGCATGACAGTACAGGACACCGGATTTCTCTCCGGAATTTTCTGGAAACAAGAACTGGCTTCCCGGACCATCTCAGATCTTTCAAATGCGCTTAGAATCACATTCCACGAATGGATGTTCCTCTCTCTCATACAATCGAAGATGGTTTTTCGCTTCTTCGGTATACCCTACACGGGCATATGGAAGGAGCATTCGTCCGGGACTGAGATGCTCCGGTATCGCATCGAGCAAAATCCTGGCCTTCTCCAGCAGCCCATCTCGCGCGTACGCGGAAATCATCGATGCCCAAGAGAACTCGTCCCTCAAGGAACTCTTCTCGCCTCGTCAATACTCCCGCACCGCAAGAACATCTGAATTGGGGATGCCCTGTGCTGGATCGCGATCTGAGAGTGGAGCTTCTTCGGGTCATCAAGAGATTTGGAGGGCGAAAGGCAGTTCTTTGAGCGATTAATAGACCCATTGCCGCTGCCACGCTGGACGGTTTTTAAGGGGGGCAAAATTTAGGGTTCTTTAGTAGTAGCCTAACATGATGAGCGACGAGGACGAAGACAATTCGGGGATCTACGCGGAGAGCGAGCTCGAGTGCGGCGATGACGATCCCGCTGAGCTGCGCGGATCGTCGCATAGGGTAAGCGCCTCCAAAAGATTGTCCTCATTCACGGGATTGCGTGTTACGGCAGGTGATCACCGCCGAATCGCTAGCGCTTGCTCAGGTAAGGGATCCATTCTTTGCAGCGCGCTTCCTCATCGCATCTTTGCCGTGGCAGCAACAAGATCTGCAAAGAGTGATGGACATGTTTGGTGTGAAAATCCAGCACGCCAGGGCTCTTCTCATCCACTACCGATGGAACGTCGAGGTTTTGTTTAGCTACATGGCTGAGGCTGGGAGAGATGCGGTCTTTCGCAGGGTTGGTTTGCCAGCTTTGGCTGAAAACCAGCCCGCCTCACAGCCGCTGCCAAGCACTGTCACTTGCGGCATTTGTTTCGACGATGTTCCACAGGCCGATGCCACTCAAATGGATTGCGGCCATGCCTTTTGCAACGATTGTAAGTGGTCTTCCTTTGCTATCTTTTCTCTTTCTTTGCTTTTCCTTCGATCTAACTCGGAAGGGCAGGCTGGCTCGAGAACTTTACCGTCAAGATCATGGAGGGCGAGAGCCGGAAGTTGAAGTGCATGGCTTTCAAGTGTGCAACGATTTGTGACGAGGAGAAGGTTCGTGCCGTCTTAGCATTCAGGAACAGCGAGGCTTTGGCCCGGTATGAGAGGTGCTTGCTCGAGTCCTACATCGAAGACAATGCAGCAGTCAAGTGGTGCCCGAGCGTTCCACACTGCGGAAATGCCATCAAGGTGGAGGGGGGGCCGTACTGGGAGATCGAGTGCCTTTGCTCACACCAGTTTTGCTTCAACTGCTTGAAGCTGCCGCACTCGCCGCTGTCATGCAGCTTGTGGGAGCTGTGGGAGCGCAAGTGTAAAGACGACTCCGAGACGAATCACTGGATCACCAGCCACACTAAATCATGCCCGAAATGCAGTAAGCCAGTCGAGAAGAACGAAGGTTGCAACCTCATGACTTGCCGCTGTGGCCAGCATTTCTGGTAAGTTGTGTTTATTTTTTCTTCGCCTTCGCGGGATGGAAACTAACTTTTCCCCTTGTTCGTGTAGCTGGAAATGTGGTACTGCCACCGGTGCTGCTCATAGCTACGAGCACATTGTGGGGCATAGTTGTGGTCGCTACAAAGAGGAAGCCGAGACAAGAGCAGCCGATGCAAAACGCACGCTGTCGAGATACCTTCATTATTACAAACTGTGGAGAGCGCATATGGATTCTCTCAAGTTCGAAGAGAAGCAAGAACAACTTGTACAGGAGAAGATTGAAAGGTTGGAACAACGCGACTTGATTGTCAAGGACTACACATGGCTCAAGTCTGGGCTCCAGATGCTTTACAAGGCCCGGCGTGCCGTCTCGTGCTCGTATCCGTTCGCATTCTTTATGTTCGGCAACGATCTCTTCAAGGACGACATCTCCCCGGAGCAGAACGCAATGAACCAGGTGCTGTTCGAAGACCAGCAGCAGCAGTTTGAAGAACAGGTTGAGAGGCTGTCGATGCTTATTGAGATGCCCGAAGAGGTGCTGGAACAAGACATAAGCGGAGTAAGGTTTAAGGTTCTCAGTGTCACCGCGCTCACCGATAGACTCTGCTGCCGACTGTAAGTTTTCATGTTTGCTCGTTTCATGTTTGTTCTGAATGACGATCGTTGTTTGCTTCGCAGGTATGAACTGATTGAAGACCTCCTCGGTTCTGTGATTTCCGCGACGCACCACATCGCGCCATACAGTTCTCAAGTGGAGCGTGTCTCTGCGGAGCCCGCAAGTAAGGCCGCTTGGTTTTGAGAGCTTGCTCACTTCGTAATGAGACTTGTTGGCTGTCTGGATGGTCCAGTGAACACCAGCAACCCCTCGGACCAAAAGTGCAAGAGGAGCATTGACGACACAGATTTGGACGCAAACAAGCGTCCCCACACTCACAAAAGTTCTTCTTCCGATGTTTATTGATATTGGAGCAACGAAAAATCTCTGATTTTCCTGTTTCCTTTTTCGGTCTAGCAATGTCTCTAGGGCTCATGGCGTTTGCTGTGCCGCAGATTAGTTGGCGCTGCTCCTTTCCTGGACGACGACTCGAGGTACAAAGCCTTTGGTCTCCTTTCTGTGCGCGTTGTTTAACGTGGTGCGTTGCTTGCAGACTGGAACTTCGCTGAGAGTGGCTGCCACCATGAATTATAGCAGCCCAGACTCTCCCGGTCAGGAGCGAGTAAGTTCGTGTTCGGGATTCTTTGATCTTGTTTTTCCCGTCTTGCAGCTCGTCAACCAGCTAAAGCACCATCTTGCAACGAGCCACTCCTACCTCCCTGTTGGAAAGAATGGCCGTGACGATGACGAGCTGCTCCTCTGGTTCCTTCAGGATCGAAAGTTCGACGTGCCCAAGGCTGGGACAAAGCTAGCCAATTACATCGTATCTCTTTCTTTCTTTTCTTTTTTTGATCTAACTGCAGAGCTGTGCAGAAATGGCGTGAAGAGTTTGGAGTAAACAGCATTACCGACGACTCCATCAGGAAGATCGCGTCTTCTGGAAAAGCGTATCTAAACTCAAGTCCAGACGTTAAGGGAAGGCCAGTGCTGGTTGTAGTTGCTGCAAAACACTTCCCTCGGGTGAGTTTACTTGATCCAGTGGTTCCAACCTATTTACGAACTTTCAACTTGTTGTAGGAAGAAGAGGCTCTAGCCAGTCAGAAGCTGTGCGTGCATCTCGTCGAAAAGGCTCTGCAAAATCTTCCTCCCGGTGGCGATCAAATCCTTGGGATATTTGACTTGCGAGGATTCAACGCAGCAAACGCGGATCTTACCTTTCTCAAGTTCTTGGTAAGCGTAGAGGCGCTGTGCTTTATCTCTTTTTTCATCCATTCTTGTTGGTTCGTTCGTGCGAGAAGATCGACGTCTTTTACAGCTACTACCCGAGGCGGCTAGCGGAAGTGTTGTTTGTTGACGCGCCATTTGTTTTCCAACCGGTCTGGATGCTCGTCAAGCCTTTGCTCAAATCCTACGCAAGCTTGGTAAGCCTCAAGTAATTATTTGTGGATCGAGAAGTTAATGCCACTGTCAAAGTCTAGGTGCGCTTTTGTACAGCTGATAGTGTTCGGAGAGACTACTTCACCCAGGACACAGTCCCTCTTGACTTCAGGAAATAGTAGCTCTTTCAATCGTCATCATCCTACTAGGATTCAAGGAGCAGTAGCAATGAATAAACTAAGGAGCTTAGCTCGAGCTATAAGAGAGATAAGAACTTTCATCGATCACGGAAAAGATCACTTTATCTACAGCCCGTTCTTTTACAATCCAAACCATGCCAAGAATCTCTGCAACAAACGAGGACGCTTTGGGGGCTCGATAGTAGCGTCCACTGCCTTTCTTTTCTTGCTTCCTCGCTTTGGGGGCTCGATACTATCTCCTCGTGCCTCGATTAGATCCTCGATGTGAAACCATGGCACCTTCAAGGAGACCCTGAGATAGAAAAACATAGTCAGAGACACGAAAAGTATTAATGCTTGCCTTCCCTCCATCGGCTGAGCCTTCTCCCTACGTCTTTCTTCCCTGAGGCCCACAGGGTGAGTTTCTACACTCGAAAAGATTTTACATTCTTACCCTCTTGTTTCGTCAAACCTGCGATACTCATCCATGCTCACTCGTCCAGCCGCGACTTGAAGCTGTGTAAGTGAGACTTTTTCCAAGGGTGGATCACTACAAAAACCTGTCAAGAACAAAGAGAAGAGGATTTTACAAATACGTACTCCCAGTCGATGTGAACATTGATAAGACGGCTAGGCAAGATCTCCAGCCGCAGCAGCTCCTTGTGACGTATCAGCTTGTGCAACTCTTCTTTGAAAACAAGATTAACAACTGCTTTGGAGCGACAGTCGTGATGAACTCTTGCAGCACGGTAGTAATACGTCGCCAGATCGTCTGGGATGTCATAGTTTACCACCAGATTCCCTCCGAGATCATCAAACAGCCGCTCGTCCCTGAGAGAAACAAACGTAAGAGTCACAAAAATTCAATTTTGTCTACCTGAGATCGCTGTTTGTAATCAGCGCTCGCGGTCTCCGACGAAACTTGTACTCGTCACTGGCGAGAAAGGTGTCGAAAGGATTGTATTTCATGTCATTCGCTGGAGAGAGGAGGGCGCTGGAGACGAGCGCCACCGAATCAGCTGTGTTACAAAAGATGACATAGCTGTGGAAGCGTTCGCGAATGCGGTCGCGGACGAACAGGATCTTGTCCTCGTGCGTGTCCATAACCACGAACGTGTGACCCACGAAGTTGAGAGTGAGGCGCTCATCGCGCTTCATTCCTCGTAAATCTCCAGCCTTGAATCCGTGGCAGTGCTGTCGGCAAACATCTGACCTAATAGTCATCTTTATCAAACCTTTATAATGTTTTAAAATTAAAATTTTGACCTTGTTTAATGGTTGTAAATGAAAGGAAATTTACTAGTGAATAAAAAACTATGAAAGAGAATATTTATTAATATGTTACTGTGAAAGAGAAGATTTATTAATATGTTACTGTATCTGATTAGAATTTTATAAAAATAAATAAGTTTTAATTGTGGGAGCTAAGTACTAATTAAAATAAGTATTTACATGAGTAATAATATTTATTATTTACTATAAAAGTTAAAAAGACTTCTAAGTCAAGTCTTTAAAATGGTTTTGTAGACCCAATAATAAATTTAATATGAATATATATATCAACCTTAAAGCTATAATTTTGAATGAAAGCAAGGAACTTCAAGAGTTACTATAGTCCATAAAGCACTATTGCAATATCCCACCTTTAAATCTACCCATAGATAATCTTTTGAGACCATTATTAATTCAAACTCATAACCATAATCCAAATTTATCTTTGAGTCTTCCCTCCAGTCAACATCCAAGACTTGTGTTAACTCGGACTCACAACCTTTGCTTTCATCTAGCACTATATATGGGAGGTCAAATTCACTTTGTTCATCTTCCACATCCTCCTTACCCCCTCTTCAAAGGAAAATAAATTCTAAAGAATTTTCTCCATTCAAATTTATGTTTGTTCTCACTTTACCATTTATGTTTGGTTTCACTTCACTCAGTCACATTATATTGAGGCCAAATATTCTTTTTGGACACACTATGCTTGTCTTCACTTCACAATTTATATTATTTATCCTTGGTTCATTATTGTATCCACTCATCATCACTTCATCATTAGGGTTGGACTCTTGTCCACCCCCTTTACCCCCTCCTTTGAAGAAAAAAAAGTTTAAAATATCGAGGCAAAAAGGAAAAAGTGAGAAAATTAAGGAAAAACTGTTATGGGAGTAAGAAAAAATAGACAAAGAAGCATTAAGAAGAGGAATTTTCAATAGTTAGCAATATAGAAATAAGGAAAAAGGAAGGATATGTGATAAAAGCCTACCATACTATAAGCAAAAAATTCACACTACTCAACCTCCTCAACACTTGAAATAGGAAAATAATAAAAACGTTCATATTCTTAAGAGAGCATATAAACTCCTCAACAACAACGGTAAAATAAAGATTCTCAATAGCACTCACAAGTGGGGATAGGCACTCCATCTGAAACTCTAGTTGAAGTGACTCAACCTTTGGAACAAGGAAATACTCAATATTAAAATTAATCATAGACTTTACTAATGAAACAAATGCAAGATTCTCAATTTCATGCATATATTCAATATCTAAATTAGTATAAGAAGGACAGAAAACACTCAATTGAACAGTGGACTGAGAATTAAATTATAAGAGTTATAAATGATTGATATGCCAAGAGAAGAAAACATTACAAATCAAGAAAAAACACTAATGTAAGAAAACCAACTCTAGGCTAAAGGATCCCTGAAACCATGACCGGAATGATAAAAAGTTCATTAAATTAGACTAAGTTTGAGATTGAGTCGAAGACCGACTCCGAGATTGAGTTCAAGACCGAGTTTGAAATCGAGTCCGAGATCGAGTTCGAGACTGAGTTTGAAACTGTGTCTGAGATTGAGTCTGAGACTGACTCCGAGACCAAGTTTGAGACCGAGTTTAAGACCAAGTCTGAGATCCAAGATCGAGTCTGAGACCAAAACTGAGTCCAAGATCGAGTCCGAGATTGAGTCTGACGTCAGGTCCAAGATCAAGTCCGAGATTGAGTTTGAGACTGAGTTCAAGGTTAAGTTTGAGATCGAGTCTAAGATCGAGTCCAAATACTAATATAGGTCATGGGGTGAAAGCCCAAAGCAATCATCCCACAAGGAAGGGGCAGTTGCAAAAGGTTCCAAAAGTATAGAAAGGATAGTGAGGTTTAAGAATTAGTTTTGAAGGAACTCTTTAGTGGTGCTTTTAAACTAACTTGAGGTTGAAATTGGGGCTTAGGGGCCTCAGGTGGGAGTGAATATGGATTCAAGTGCTGCCAGAGGGGTTATCCAAAGAAGTGCTCAAAAAGAACTCTCACTCCTAGAAGGGAAATTGACTATAGTGCTCCCAACTCATGTAGAGTGGTGCCCCACTTGAGTACCTTATGGCTCATTGGTCCTTGCTCCTTCCTAGCGGCCTGGACCTTCCCTTCAGGATGGAAGTGGGGGGGGTAAGGGTACTCATACCGGGCCATTAGGTGATGGTGTTTCCCCCTGGGGTCCCAAAGTAAATGATGCACATAAAGCTTGGGATTCAGAGAGTCCCATAATCAAGTTTTATTGTACCAAGAGATGCTAGGAATTTAAAGGCTTGGTGTGCTTGCAAGGAGTATAGCCAAACTTTAGTCTAACCCAAAGAGGGGGATTGGGAGAAAAATTAGGAATCTATGGATGGATGGTTAACACTTTATTGCTTGTGTAGTGAGTAGTTAAAACCAAGTAGAACCAAATAGAAACTAGTATAATAGGTGGGAACTTTGGCAAAAGAACTTAACTAAGGCTAAGGTAGTGGTGGTCGAATATACAAGGTAAACTAATAAATTAGAAAGGAAAAATTTGTAAATTACAATTTGGTATTGGAG